GATTAAATTTAACAAAAAAGGAAATAAGAAAAAAAAAAAAGCATGCTGTACTTTAGAAGCATCTCACTTTCAGTCAGCTGACCTACCAAAGGCAGAATTTCTAATTGTCAGAAACTGAAAGGTAAGGGGAGAGGAATGTTATTTTCCATTGTAAGCCCCAGGAATGCATTCTAAGCTGAGACAGAGAAAGAAGAGTGCAGGCTTTGCTAAAACACCCCAATACCAAAATCTCTCACACTGTTGTCAAATGGTAAGCAAGCACTAATGAAGGAATTCAGCATTACCAGTCTGTGCGGCTGTGTGTCCCACACCTGCCTGATGGTCCTCTGTTTCATTTTCTTCTACTGTCAGAAAAAGGTAAACAAAACAAAAACAAAACAAACAAAAAAAGATGTTAGGTAGGTAGCTGAAGTGTTTCAAGTATCTTTACATGAGCCTCAGTTCTGAAAGCCAGCAATGCTTGCACAACACAGGCAAGAAAAGCTGCACTGCAAAGTGCGAAAGTGTAGACCAGACCAAGACAGAATATATTGCTGTATGGAAGCTACAAATCTGAGAGCAGAGTGACCAAATCTTTTTCATGTCTTAAAAAAACAAATCAAATTTCCTCTGGGATATTTGTCTTCAATGCACTTTACTGTATTTGATTACAGATCTAAATAAGAGAACAATTATGGGCTTTAGGATTCTGCTTGCTCCACACAGATAAGAGAAAGCCTTCTCCTGGCAGATGGGAGAGGTGTGTGTGCTAGTTCACACATAAGCTTTAAAAAATAGTAATAATCCTATATTCAGTAGCAAACATCTCAGCAGTGCAGACAGCCTTGCAAAGGAGAACTAACCCCATGCTGTTTTACTGTATATACCATGCCAGCATCTTTCCCTTGGCTCACAGCTTTCCAGAGCGGTAGAACTAAAAACAATACAATTCTTGTCAGATTCACTATTCAAAACTTGTTGGGTGAGTGAACCTAACAAGAGCCATTCTGTTGCTACTTTGAAAAATTAGAGAGCGCTGTTCTCTTACATTCTGATATGATGCCTAAGTAAGATTGACTCTCCCAAAGCAAAAGTAAGGGAAGAGCTAAAAGGCAGAACCATTTCCTTTTTATTCTCCCAAAGACCGAGTTCTTTGAGTTAGAGAACAGCAGAGAGAAAAGAATTCATTCTGCCTCCACAGGGGAAAAAGCTGAAAGGGGAAAGACTGCACTTCTGCAGCATTTCCACTCCCAAGAATTCAGACCTCAAAAAATAATCATGCAACTGAATTAAAAGTCTAAAAACTTGAGGTATTTTTCCTGGTTCTGGGGACAAGAGAGTGCAACACTTAGGGGTCACATATAAATCTAGACATATATGCAAAAGAAGAGATACATATACACACTCCACAGGTACCTCTTTTCCTCCTCCGCCAACCCCAAGGCTTCATACAACTGGTTGTTTCTAAAATCTGAGTTTCTAGAAAAAAAACACCAGTTTTCATAAGGACACTCTTAGAACACCAGAAACTTGTAATACAGTGCATATATCAGAAAGAGTCAAGTACAATCTCTGAAGGACTCTAAACAATCTATATCTCTATCCCAGAGCTGTGGCTAGCAAGCAAACTCTTCTCATCTACAGAGATCTGATAAAAGTTTCCCCAGCCCTGCAGTCAGTCCAGTATTTCACAAAATATATTTTATGAGCTAATTTATGAGTTCAACTTGTGTTTTGCAGCCACAATGTTACCAGTACCTCAGCTGTAATAATACTGTATGATTTTCTTTGTTACACTGAAGCAGTTACCCCAGCACCCTCACAGCTGAAGGAATCCGGTCAGACAAAGAAAGCAGTGGGAAAAGCTCACAAAAACCTGAGGTTTGGGGAACGCATGGTCAAATGCAAACTAAGCTAAATAGAAAGATTTTTCTTTAAGGTAGCACAGATAAGTAAGTTTCATTAATAAAGCAAGAAAAATAATGAATAAAACTAGTATACAATTTTAAAAATATATATATGCCATCTATTGTGACCCCCTCAAAATTCCCAGGAAAACCTGTGCAGCAGCCTAATATGACCCTATTTATGTCCATCATTAGCTGCTGACGGACTTCAAAAAAATGTACTTAAGAATGAGCTCTAAAACTGAAATGAGTCCACTCTTCCATCCCTCAAGAGGAAACTCACTTTGATCATCGCTACCTACTGATCAGCCTTATTAAATGTTGTGGATGTATCTGCTGTCCTCAACCATGATAAATGTCCCTTTTCAGTTCAAAAAAGCAGTTTAAGAACACTACCATTTCTTAACTTTCAAGATGGAATTGAGGTCTTCAAACGTGAACTTTTCAATAACTGATTCCCAAGTGGCTACCTGCTGAGAAGTAAACAAGAACTCCACTTTAAAGTGTATACCAAAATGAAAGAGTTAATTTTTTCTGCTGTTCTGTCCTCAATGTCTACTGCCACCAGCTGCAGAACCAGAATCTCTCACTGCTCCTGAGATGTGATTGCACAGTGAAATGTACTCAGCTTCACATTGCTGACTGAGAGGTACACCAAACATTTTTAGCTCCTAAAATGGAAAAAATAAACATGGATGCTGCCTAACTAATTGTTTCCAGGTATGCAATTTTGTACCATGAAAACATGGCAGCGTATGCCTTGTGAAAACAAACATTTTACAACTTCCCTGCTATTTTGGGATCTGAAAATTCTGTGAGAGCTGAGGCTTGCTTTCAACAAAGGCTGACCACTAAGTCTTTATTGCACTTAAAAAAGAAAACAAGTATAAAAGCAGGTAGCGTTATGGTTAGCATTTTTCTAAACTTTTGCTGATGCCTTTAAGGATTCTCATTCACAGCAGAAACAAGTAGATCACAACAGGCAATGGCACAGACTTTTCAATAATAGTCAATTAGACTGACATATTTGTCAGGAAAAATAAAACCATATTTAGGGGGGAAAATGGTAAAAAGAAAAAGAAAGTGATTCTACAGAACCCACTGAATTAGCGAGTCACCTACAAAATGCATCTTATTTTTCTTTGCATTAAGTTAGTTCCTTCCTCCAGCTTGCAAGGGCATTCCTTACATTAAGTAGGCTACAGCTGGTAGCATCAGATAAGCTCTCCATTAGCACTTAACACCTTTTCACAAACAGATTCTGAAAACTTCAGTGCTCTCAGGCCACTGTTAAACTCAACTAAGAAAGGTAGAATGACAGGAAACCAATGTTAACCTCCTTCAAATATTAACTACAATGTTTTCTTTCAGAAGAGGAAGACACCTTTGAACAGAATCTATACAAAGGGATGATTTAAATTTTGCAAACCAAAACCCTTTTTCTAGCACGAGCGTGGCATGTAACTAAAAAATGAACAAGGATGGTATGCAAGTAAAAGAGTAGCATGTATGCAATATTATTAATTCAAACATCAAAATTATTGATATCCCTACAACTGTAATTGCACACAGAGATGTCACCTCCATTATAGCATATACCACATCCTAGCATAAGATAAAATTAATCCTGTGTAATGAGGCCAGAATACCAGTGAAGGAGAGGCCTCAGGAAAGCAGAATATTACATTATCAATCCAGTATGAATACGTGACCTTATGGCTGAACAGAACTTCTAGATACATGTTGTCACTAAAGCAATAATATTCCTTGTCCCTACAACTACATTTTTATGACCACGGGTCACCTGTTTTGTAAGCTGTAGTAATATTTCTCAGTTGACTCATCTGTTCCTTAAAACAACAATTGATAATTTCCTACTACCCATTTTCTCAGGACAACTTCTGAGAAACAGAAAGAGGAACCCCAAGTAATAAAATTTCAAAACAGGAGTAGATCACTACAACTGTGGCACCAAACTTCTTGAGAGCAATTTAAAAATATATCAGTAAGGGAAAAAAGAAATTCAACATGTCAGTTCTATCTCCCATTATAAAATCTGTGGGTTGGACAGATAACAGTTTTTAAAATTTTATTTAAAAAAAAACGTATCTCTAAACTGAAGCTGTATCCATGTGAAAAGTTAGGATATTTCAGCTTTGGTACAGCCAGTGTCCAAGGCAAATACTGGTTTCAGTTCAGAGCACATTTCATGCTTAGGCTGCTGACAATCAACATTGAGACCAGCTATTGCTATTCCTTTTTAAAGAAATAATAAATAAACAAACAAAACCCCCAAAAGCTTAAACAAAAACAAACCAAAAGAAAACAAATCAAACAACCAATGCAACAAATCAAGTAGAACCATCAAGGACAGACAATGAGGAAAATCTGTGGGAATTTTGATAGAGGTCCTAAATTTATAATTAAGTTCCTGATTGCTCTACAGCAACACCTGCTGATCGATGAGGATTTCACCCCTTGTGCTTAGTCTGTGATGGTCATGGTTAGATCATAAAGGAGGGAGATTGCTTTCTAAAGTTGCTACAAAATATATACAGATTTTCTAGCTTGCAAAATTTCATTCATATCCTACAGAGTAAGCAGGATTCCCCTCCTCTGAAAAGTTAATCTGTAGATTTAGCACCCTAAAGAAGAGCACAAGTAATTTCTGGTTGATGCCTGGAAAAAACTTGTACAGAAAAGAAATGGATAAAATTAGAATTGTGGAAAATTATACTTGCACTGAAGGGGAAGCCTTTTGGAGAACTCTGGCCAAGATTTATGGTTTCTGACCTACTACAAACCATAATAAAATAAAAGCAAAAGATAATTGAAAAAAGTTGGTTTTCTTCTAGTCTAGGTAGATTAATAAATTTTGAAAAAGAAAAAAAATAACTGCCCCAAATGCCTGAGCCTCTATTCAGCTTGGTAAACAAAGCAGGAGAAGCTACATATCCCAAAATAAACTATAAAAATAGATTGCTATTGATTTATCCCTTCATAAAACATATTCCTTGAGAGATGTGAAAATAAACCTAATGTAGCAACTAAGACTGTCAGGATAGGAAGTTTAGAATACATATTTTTACCTTGCACTTTACATTTTGTACAATTCAATACTTGATCTATAAACTTCCATTAGCATATGATTAGTAATTCAATTTAAAGCCATCTTTGCACAAAAGCCTTTTTCTTAGGATGGTAACTTTGCCAAGTGCATCTTCAATCTACATGTTTGAATAATTTCTGCAGACAAGTAATAGAGACACTAGCTGTATTAGCATAATCAATACACAATTTACTGAGTTACTGAGACAGAACAGAAATAAAACGTGTGTGCCATTATTTCAGTATCTACAAATTACTGTAATTTCTGGAAGTATCTCTCTGCTACTCCTCGTGGCCACATAAAAACCAAGAGGACATTCATACTGCCACCATCTACAGGTAGATATTAAGTATGAGCAGACAGATTAATCATATAGCAGAAGGCAAATTTAAGAGCCAGTTGCAGGGGACGTTGAGTATCCTCTAGCTCTATTAAAGTCAATGGATTCTAAAGATGTTTCACACTTTGCAATAACATGCTGTGGAAATACGTCTCCACAAGGATTCAGTCAGGATACAAAATTGAAATTAAAGAAGTTACAGAGAAGTATTAAATTCAGGATCACGCGTCAATGAATCTACTGCTGAAGCTTCACCTTCCTCGGCATTCTTCTCTCTCTAGGTACCACTGGTGTCTAAGATTCACCTTTCAAACCCTTCTGGCTGACACAGGCCAGCACAGGATTTCACACCTGACTGTGGCACACAAGAGCAGCTATTCAATGGGTGACTTCTGGAATTCAGCAAACATTTCAGAATTATTCATAATGGCCTTTAAGATAACTAACATTTGTAAAAGTTTAGAGCTAATAAGAAAGTCTTGTTTTCTGACCAGATTCATCTAGCATCAACTCATGTCTATCAGCTACTAGCCAGATTACTAATCTGACTGTCAAATGTAAATCCTCCCAATGACTTTAGTGTTGGAAGAATTGGAAAAAGAAATGCATTGGCATATTAACATTTCAAATATCTACATTCCAGAACTCTATTGAAAATCAGTCCTGTGTGTAGCTACAACTTTACAAAAGTCCAATTAATCATATGCATGAATATGTATATGGCTGATTTGTTTTCCTTTGTGCTGTGACATATCCCTTTTCCTATTTCTATTCCCCCCAGCATGGTAACAATATCCTCTTGACATTGGAAATTATTTTCCTTAAAAGATTCCTGTTATATAAAGCATTCTTTCCTCTTGCATTTGCTTTTTCCAGAAGACAAACTCCCTCACAGCACTCATATTCTTCACTCCTCTCTTTAGTCTGTCCCAACACTGAGCTTGTTTTCTTTCCCCCTAATGTTCTTCTTGTAGAATGACTGAATTAGGAGTTCCCAATTAAACTGCAGTGGTTGGAAAATATTATTCTTATGCTAAAATAAAGTCTTTTCCTAGGCAGCACATAAACATAAAAGTAATAAATATACTTAAGTGGAAAGAAATTATGCTTAAGAAATCCTTTGGATATTCTTCCAACACTTGATCTCAAAGATGACAGTATCCAAATGTGACAGCCTAAAGACGTCCAGTTTTACATAACAGTGTGTGCAGAAAAGGCATAAGATGCTCTTTCCAGCAGCAGAGGCATAATTCTAAACCCCAAAGCTGGGTAGGGGGAGGGAAGATATCCTTCTCGGGATAGCTGAGGTAATAGATTAATTAATCGTGTATGAAATTCTAACTTTGCCTCCATAACCATGCATCCTTTTAAAAGGTTAAACCACATATACATATACTCATATTTCCATTGTTAAGTAAACTAATAAGGTTGTATTATAAAAAGTACTTTTCTCCAAAGAATCTTAGAGCTTTTTATAAACCTCAAGTAAATTTCAGTCATCCCTAAGACTCTCTACCATGCAACGTAACAGATTATAATAGATCTCAGAGTCAAATTGAGGACCAAGGCGAGAATTAGCAAAGTTAGAAGGACACAGTTCTTAGTACCAAAGTCAGGACTTTCAGCTGTCTTGCCTGTCCTAGACTGAGTGCTCCACCACCATCCCTGACAATGTGCTGTGGGCAGCCAGTCCATTTTGGGGAAGACAGAATTTAGGAGGCTAAGATAAATTTTAACCCTAATTACTAAATCCAGTACTTAACATGAACACATTCAGAGTTATTCCCCTCAGTGTCTTGAAGCTCTGTATCACCTCAGCTTTCTTACTCAACAAGACAAATACAAATTCCTGGTGCTTCTACAGACTGTATTTTCAACTGTGCTTAGAAAAAGGAAATTCATTAAACACTTTCTACAAAAGTCTAAACCCAGCAAGAGAGAGCAATTGGAATCAAACTGATGTATGGATCATAGAACCTCAAAGTAACCAACATGACACAAGTCTGAAGACAGGTGATATAAAGAAGGACTATGAAGACTTATAGTAAAGGTTACTGTAGATGATCCTACCCTCTGAAATTTAAATCATTTATTTATGTGCCTAAAATGGGACACTTACATTGAGGACTTTGGGCTGTCTGACATTGTTCCAATACCAAACTGAAATACAGCTTCATGCTGTAGCTCTATTACCTAAAGACATACATTTATCTGAGTCAATAAAAACCAAACCAAACCAAACACCTACCTCCTTTCAACTGAGATATCCCTAATTTATCAGAGATTTCCTATTCTATACTAGGGTTTTATAAGTTAATTTTTGGTCCTTCAGACTGTCTACTCTATTCTAGATGACTTTCTATCATGTAGAACAGCAATCTGGTCTATATCCACAAAGGAGCTTAGAAGCCAAAAAACTAGTGAGGGGAGGCTGCATCTCAATTGTCAGCAGTTCTGTTCAGATGCCACTGAGGTCAGGCCGTACCTTTGGTTTTACCATCAGGGTTTTCTCAGTGCTGAAATCAAACTGAAGCCCCACCACAGCTGGATAGTGAGTGATTGAGTATTCTCCTGCCTGCCATGGATTTGGATGCAGCCTTATGGGCTGGTTCTTGAGAGTTCATATAACCTTCCCTGGTTGCTATAAAACAGTGGCAGAAAATATGTGGGTTGAAATACATCTTTCTTTTCCCCTCTTGCTCACATCCACTGGTTAGATCACTCACCCAGGGGGTGGGTGGCACCAGCTGAACTTTCTCTTCTATCAGAAGGATTTGTACTCATGTCATAAGCTTCCTAACAAAGAACACTTACCCTCAGACTTGATGTGCATTCCTTCATTGCTGTTGAAGCTACCATACTTCATCTACAATATTCACTGAAC